ACACACACACAAAAGAAAATGAAAATACCCACCCCAACCCCCCACACACACACACACAAAAGAAAATGAAAACACCCACCCCAACCCCACAATTAAAAATAGAAAAACAAAAATCAGACTACGAAAAGAATCTACAGCTACACTTCTCGAGAGCGGAATAAAACAAACAGTACGACACTATCCAAAAACTTTTGGTCAAAACAGTGACACGGTATAGGTTTAACGCCCCCCCCCCCCTATCAACACTATTAGGTTATCAATTTTAGTGGCGGGACCTCAGAGTTTAACGTCCATCTCCGAAAGGACAGAGCTAAATAGGAAATTCGTGTAAAGTGACTTTGTCAAGGACACAACAGCGGAACTTTGGGTGCGAGACTAACACGATTTAGAACTTCTGCCAAGTTGGGAAGGCAAAACTCGGTGTAGCGTGGACAAGATCTAATAGTTTTGGGTGCAGTTTGTTTTGTCTTGTTTTGACTGTAAATAATAAGAGACAAACGTCACGCGACCAAATCTACGAGTACCTGATTATTGAGCTAGTGATGAATGTTGGGAATTCAAATCTTTACAGTTTAGTTTGAGTTTTGAGTTTTACGTCACTTGGGTCACAATTAGGTTGTATAAAACTTGTGGAAGAAAATTATAGATGTGTCATCAGAGAGTAACACACGAAGAGAAGGGGGAGAGCTGATGACGGGAGATCAGAATCAGATGTGAGACACACACAAAAGGAGCAGGTCAGAGCAGAGCGCCAGCAACCACCCACCAAACGTTACACGTCTGAGCTCCAGATGAGGTCACCAACAAGCAGACGATGACTGTGACAAGTACAGGACACGTCAGCATGGCCCACTCCTCTCTTTAAAAACAACAACAACAAAAAACACCCACCCCCTCCCACAAACACACAAACAAAGACATACACTTCCCTCAACAACGCCACCAACGGTGACAGCTACGACAAATAGTCGCTTTTAAGAACGAGGGGGCTAGAATCTATCCCGAAAAAATGCTGTTTTGAGAAAATGGAAGGTAAAGTTTTTGCCCCTTGTTCAGTTTCTTTAAAAGACAAGGAGAGTTTTCTCTATTATTATCCAAACAAATATACACACCGATGAAACCAAACTTCTCGTATAGGTAGGGCAATGCCCACTTTTGGTGTAGGTCAAGATTTCTGGGAACCCCCGCCAAAAATAAATATCTATGGGTTAGCCCGCTTGTCCATAAAAGCGACCAAATGTGGGTGAGAACAAGATAGCAGTGAGCGGACGCCGGTGTCTGTGCGTGAAGCGGCGGTGCTGACTCAGAGACAGTGAGTGATGAGTGAGGAGTGATGAGTGATGAGTGATGAGTGCCCAGTGGTGAAAGCTGACGTGAGCGACAAACAGACAGAGAGACAAACAAACAGACAGACAGAGACGAGAGAGATACGAGAACACACAGCCCAAAGGTGAGAAACGCGATGCCAAAGTCACACAAATAAGCAACCCCAAGCGATCCGTGTTGTACCCGCTACATTTTGTCTTTACATGAACTGATGGAATCGTTTCTTTGACGCTACATATTATGTCCTACGTGTCTAACATGCCTGTCGCTGTAACCGTACACGTTTTAGGCCCTCATCGACACACTTGAGGTCATTTAGGAGACGGGCTGCTTCGCCCCTGCCTGTCAGGGCCAACCCGCGCTGACGCGGGAACATCCCAACAGACAAACAGACATACAGTAGAACACGGATAGCTCGATTCGCCGGGACCGGCCTCGGTAGCTGGAGGGATCCGTAGTTCGAGGGATATCTTATACAAAGATAAAGAAAAAAAAAAAAGGAACTACAGGCACATTTCGACAGATGCGTGATACTTAGTCTTCCTTGTTCGACCTATCCGTGTTATACTATGCTAGGAAGAAAATGTTTTACTAAAATAGGAAATGAAACAATATACCGCTACAAGCATAAAAAGCTTCTACAAACAAAGAAACAAACACAAACAATAGATACTTTTAAAAAAAACCCAATCCCGATAGGAGATATTTAAAAAAATGAAAACAACTCCAGCAAACGAAATGAGTGCAACACAAGGGTAACGGCTACTAGCAAAACTACCAACACAATAGACACACTACAGAACGATGGAGCAAAAATGTACCACAATTTGGAATACAATTATAATAATAATAATATACATGTTGTATACTCAGTATTTCCTGATCACAGTTCGTTACAACAACAACAACAACAACAACAACAACAACAACAACAACAACAACAACAACAACAACAACAGCAACAGCAACAACACTTCGACAAAGGGAAGCCGTTCTGTAATCCAGACGAACGGAGAAACGTGAAAGCAAAACACAACCTAAAAAAACAAAACAAAACACACAAAAAATAAAATTATCCAACATTATTCAAAGTAAGAGAAAGCGGGAAACTTTAGATGATTAATGTCAAAATTTAGTCCGGACGATTCTGAAAAAATCAAAGTTCAAACATTAGAGAAACATTGTTAAGTTGTGAGGTAAGATTGAAACAGTGTGAGTGACACGTTGGTGAATGTTAATGACGGGAGAGAGAGTGTACGATGGAGAAAGCCTTACGGGTCAGACAGGAATCTGAATGGGAGAACACAGGAGCATCTCAAGGCCACAGTTCAAGGTCACTGTGAGTGTGTGCGCACGTGTGTGTATAATATGTGCGCATAAGAGTATGCACTTGCACGCACGCAAATACGTGTTTGTGAGAGTGTATACGTGTGAGCGTGTATGTGTACTTGCGTATGTGTATGTGTGTGCGTGTGCGTGTTTGTGTATGTGTGCGTGCGCACGTTCACGTGACCTTGAGTATGGCGTCATGTCTCGGGTTCAATCAAGATTCAAGCAACACTCAAATTCATTGAGGCTCATGACAGTGAGATGGACAAGGGAGGCAATCATTGTGAGCCTGTGATGTAGGTTGGGGAAAACGCGTGCATACTCTCTCTCTCTCTCTCTCTCTCACACACACACACACACACACACACACACACACACACACACACACACACACACGACTCCTGGACCCGCACACATTCTCACATACAAAATTTACTGGTAGCGGACAGCGTTAACATTTTGTGCCTATACCAAATTAAAAGATTATTTTGTTCTAATTAAGTTCCTTGGTCTATACACTTTTCTTAAACTCTCTCGCGCAGGCGCCTATGTATAATACAAAGAAGGTTTTTGATACGCATTTCTTTGGAAATGGAACTCCAAATTTTAGGAACTCAACCAGAATGGCACCTTGATATGTGGAACACTTCCTTTATTTCTCTAAACAGAGAGTATGTCTGC